AAAGAGTGTGAGAGAGGGAGACAGGAGGAAGCAAAGGTGTGAAGAATAGGATAACCATTCGGCAAGTTTCTTGCGGGTCTCCACTTGTATGTAGTATTTTCAACTAAAACAGGAAGTAGTTCACCTTTCTTGTATCTGTATTTGTATCAAAAAGCCACTGTGGGCAGATGACAAATATATCCTTCCACATACTTAAGGGACAGAAATCCATCCCATTCTGAAAGTTACAAAGTGAGAAAATGAAACCTTGCAGGAATGGATTGTGCAAATTTATATGGCATTCTTGAGAAACAAAGTCATTAAATCTTCTCAAATACACAGTCTGAATATCTCTATTATATACGTTTTGAAAAATCAAATGTCTATTTCCCCTGGTCGTGGTCATGAAATGGGGATGTACAGGCTTTGTCTGTGAAAAGCTCAAACATCCAGCAGATTCTTTGAAAATATCAATGTTGGGGCCATAAAGGCTGAAAAGCATATATATCATTCAGAACTTAAGAGACAGTTGCTGTTTGGTACACATAGCTTTCTCTGCAATGACCTTGACCTTGTGGAACTAACCGCTTATCAGCCCTCACTCCTCAAACAGCTAAATTCAGAAATACTGCCCCCAAAAGTTATTCCCTTGCTTTTGGCCAAGTTTTTAATTAAGTTTAAATTATTATTTCTTAGGGTTTTGGTAGTTTGTCTTGCTGGTTTATGCTGCAAACTATCTTGACTCTTCACAGTAGGTAGAACAGAAGTTTACCATTCCAGAGTGGCTGGATTCATTGCTGATCATACTGTCACAGCTGTCTGCACTGCCAACAACTGCTGCAGGAACTGGGTCAGTTGTCCCTACCCACAAGTCCTTCTTAGGCATATCACAAGTCAAACAAGATATCTGCAAATATGACCCAAGAGTTCTGGAGAGGAAAGAAAAACAAGATACAACTTTTATTTATATGCCTCCCTTTCTTCTGTCTGCTCAAGACTTCAAAACATGATAAGAAAAAAAGCGTTATCCTATAAAAATACAGCAAGTTGCTATATTTACCATTCAAGAATTTTTAGCAAATATCTATTTTAAACATATATTCTATATGTCATATGTAATAGTACAGCATTTTATATATATTCTACAATACCATATTAAGCAGTCCTCAAATTCACAAGCTTATTGTGTCTACCAGAATGAATACACTATCAATTTTGTATAGAATTTATTAGTTAGCTTCTTTCAGTGTGTAAAATTTGTTTACCAGTTAGTACTTGCCAACACCTATTCCTTCAAAATGTAAAGAATACCCTTCATCAATATACTGACTTTAGTTATACAACCACAAACTGAAAGTATTTCATAGAATCATAGAAACATAGAGTTGGAAGGGGGCATACAGGCCATCTAGTCCAACCCCCTGCTCAATGCAGGATCAGCCTAGAGCAAAATTGGCCTGAAGAAAAATGGCTTCCTGACCCCAGCATGGCAACCAGCATTTCCCTGGGCGTGTAAGAAAGGGCCACAAGAACTAAGTTCTGAGGTAACCCTTCCTGCCCTCTCTCTCATGATCTGCTTAAGTTCACAGAATCAGCATTGTTGTCAGATTGCTGTCTAGCCTCTGTTTGAAAACCTCCAAAAAAGGAGAGCCCACCATATCCCAAGGAAGCCTGTTCCACTGAGGAACTGCTCTATCAGGAAGTTCTTCTTAATTTGTAGCCAAAAACTCTTCTGATTTAATTTCAACCTGTTGGTTCTGGTCCGACCTTCTGGGGCAACAGAAAACAACTCTTCACCATCCTCCCCATGACAGCCCTTCAAGTACTTGATGATGGTTATCATGTCACCGCTCAGTCATCTCTCCAGGCCAACCATGACCAGGCTAAGTCATAGGACTTGGTCTCCAGACCCCACACCATCCTCATTGCCCTCCTCTGGCTACATTCCAGCTTGTCTATATCCTTCTTAAATTGTGGTGCCCAAAACTGAACACAATACTCTAGGTAAGGTCTAACCAGAGCAGAGTAAAGCGATACCATCACTTCGCGTGATCTGGACACTATATTTCTGTTGATACAGCCCAAAATCACATTTGCCTTTTTAGCTACCACATCCCACGGCTGACTCATGTTCATTGTATGGTACACTAAGACCCCTAGATCCTTTTCGCACATAATACTGTCAAGACAAGTCTCCCCCATCCTATAATTATGCATTTGATTTTCCTACCTAAATGCAGAACTTTACATTTATCCCCACTGAAATTCATTTTATTTGTTCTAGCAGTTTTCCAGCCTGTCAAGATCATCCTGTAACTTGACTCTGTCTTCTACTGTATTTGCTTCCCTGCCCTCCCCACTCTTGAGCTCTGCATAATCATGTCAGAACTATGCTTTACAATTGTCCCACATTGTCTGTGTGAGGTGGATAGTATTTACAATGTATGTGTGAAACAAGGTTGGTGAAAGACTACTTACAAATAGGGATGTGCATTCGGTTCATCGGAACCGAATGCACCCCTGAAAATGGCCCATTTGGGTCCATTTCAGGCTGCTGCAGGCTGATTCAGATTCTCTGACCTGAATCGGCTTGCCGCCGAAATTTGGCTGCAATGCGGCCCCATTATATCCTATGGGCCATTGAAGTCAATGGTGAAAACATAGGGTACATTCTGGGGGCTGGAGGGGAGGGGGTTTGAGGGAGAGGCTCCAAACTTGCAGGGTAGCTGCTGGAGCCTCTCCCCAAGATATCCACCAAGGTTCAAAAACATTGGACCAGGGGGTCCAATTCTATGGGCTCCCAAACAGGTTGCCCCCATCCCCTCCATCCCCTTTAAGCCGCTGCTTAAAGACTGCCAAGGAGGGGGAGTTCACCACCTCCCTAGGCAGCTGATTCCACTGTTGTGTAACTCTGACGGTAAAAAAGTTTTTCCTAATATCCAGCCAGTACCTTCCCACCCTTAATTTAAACCCATTATTGTGAGTCCTCTCCTCTGCTGCCAACAGGAACAGCTCCCTACCCTGCCTACCATACCCTTCAAATACTTAAAGAGAGCAATCACGTTTCCCCCTCAACCTCCTCTTCTCCAGACTAAACATTCTCAACTCCTTCAGCCTTTCCTCATAGGGCTTGGTCTCCAGGCCTCCAATCATCCTCATTGCTCTCTTCTTCATCCACTCCATTCTGTCCTATTATCATAGGTAATGCCTGTTGATAGACCTATCCCCCATGAATCTGTCTAATCCCTTCTTAAAAACCACTTAAGCCAGTAGTGATGACCACATCCGGAGGCACTTGGCTCCAGAAAAATTACAGTGTTGACTGAAAGTACTTCCCTTTTTTTGTCCTGAATTATTGCCTATCACTTTCATTGACTGATAATGCGGGGATTTCCTATATTTCTCCAAGTTTATGATAGGTCAGCTTACCAAAGGTATACATAATTGTCAAAGATCACTAAAAAGGTTAAACTTCTCAAGACCATCTAGCAATCATTACCTCTTATAAGCCACTAACACTGGAAAAGCACAGATCATTAAATAATTCAAGGCTGTCAACTATAGGAAACATGTGCCTATTTACTTAGGGAAGAGGCCAGGGTGTGGGTGTGTGTATATACCTGACACATGCCTCACATTCTTTAAAGAAACTGAGAACAGACATCAACAGTATTGGTAGGAATAGATGGCTTCTTTTTACAGAGAGCCCATCCAGACAGCTTCTTTGTTTTTTAGAAAAATTATTTTATTTATTGTGTTGGGTTCTTGGTGTGAAATAGACAAGTGATGTGAGACATGTCCTGGGGAGGACTGGACAAGTACTGGCCTTCTTTCCCTCCCCACCCCCCTTTGCTTCCCACCTTTCTTCCACATTGGGGACTCAAGGTGACTTATGTATTATTCCCAGGAGATCCATACCTGTTCAGCTTCATCAGGGCACCTGCTTTATGTACCTTCCCGTCATACTGTGGGATAAGCAGAGGTCAAGCACACTAGTCTTGGCTGTGGGAAGTAGGTTCTGAAATACACTGAGTGAATGTGAGCTGCTATTTTTCCTGCTGGGAAAAACGGATTGGTTGCCCTTAAAGAGCAAACAGGAGTGGAGGTGGGGAATGGGATCAGAAACAGTGCAGGAGAAGAGAGCTAATGGCTCACATACACAAGATTTGTCCACAGATCTACCACAGGGGTTCATCCAGACTTTAGACATGTGCAGAGAATTCTAGACAGAATACAGGAGGCTGAGATTCAGCCTAATGTCTACCCAGCTCTGAAAAAAATAGAAATAGGTGTGGGTAGGGGAGAAAGGCATTTACAGGGGAGAATCGGCAGGCACGGTGTGTGTGTGTGTGTGAACTATCCTTCTAAGTCTTCTGCAGTAAGTGAGCTTATTTATTCTCATTATCTCTGCAAACAAAAGTTTGGGAACACATTTGCCAAAACAACTTCAGCTCCATTCTGACTTGAGCTAGTGAAAACCTGCCCAGCAAGGCCACAGCCAACCACAGAGAAACAACAGGCACCTTCAAATAATCTAGTGTCATCATTCTGTGTGTCACATTCTCCATGATTTGAGAATCAGGAAAGTGCTATAAGCTTGTGCATTTCTGCACAGATCCTATTGTTGCATTTGGGAGGGAAAACCCACTGGCATGAGGGAGGAGGAGGGTGGGACCCACAGCAAAGAAGGAGGGGGGAAGAACAGACCCTGAAGGCTCAGCAGAGACCTCTTGGGAAACAGAGCTAAATTTCAGGCACCTGTCTTCTCTGCATTCCCCCCCCCTCACTGTTTTGTTGTATCACTTTAGTATTACATCTGCATTAGAGCCAACTATGGTTAGAAGAACTAACTATGACTTGCAAATCCACTTTAAACTGCGGTTTAAAGACTCCCAACTAAAATTAGCCCTAGATGACAAAAGGCTGAAACATGGCTGGAGAAAATTATGGGATGCACATAGTCTCACAACACATTTCCATGGCACAGTCCCTAGCCTGAAATCTTGTGCACATTATAGCACTCTGGACCTAGCTGGGCCACCTCAAACAGTGCTGGCTACAGCCATAGCCTGACTTCTCAGTGGAAAGTTTAGCGTTGCAGAACACAGATTGAGATCTCTAGTTCTCTAGTGCTGCTCAGGTCTCTCCTTTCTCAACCCCTTACAGAGGATAGGCATAAGCTTCAGGCCTGAAGCATTTTTCATTTAAAAAAAATCCTTCCCTCAAGTTTTACAAATCCCTAGGCAATCTTTCCCGGGTCAGCCATTTTCAGATCCAAGTCATTACATGGTTTGGGGGGCATCATACAGCTTCTAGTGAAACAACTAATGGGCTAGCCCAAGATTATGCTGCAAAACCAACAGCAGAGACAAGGAGAACATGTCCCTTTGGTCTATTCCTACCACTCCCTCCCCAAACTGTGCTAACTACATTAGGCCATGATTCCTTGCAAGGATGCAGCCACAAGCTCTGTAACCAGTAAGACATGTTTCCAGTTCCACTCCTTTGCTCTGCCCCTGTACAGTCATGCAGCACACAGGAATGGGAGCCTACTCCCTCTTTAGAAGCTCAGCAGTCCTGAATAGCTGCTTTGCAAATGAAGTCATTTTATTTGTAACTAGGTGCTACAGCAACTATTTAAAAAAAATAAGATGTACAAGTATGTCATCACTCCAGAGAACAATACTGCTCAATGAGGAAACAACTTGTATTACAAGGTGCAATCCATTTCACAAGCCCACCTACTGGCCATCTCACCCTCTCTCACCAGGACCTGAGAGGGTCCTGAAAGGACAGGTCCTACTTAGGGATTTAAAGTAAGAGGTTAACCTGCATTGTGTAAGAAACTGGCTGCATTCAGTTGTTAAGATGCACTCGAATTGCTCAGCACAAGCTATTGCTGAAAGCAACTAATTCCAGTTCCTCAGGT